AAGAACCCAGAAGACTTGGATTTCACCAATGATGACTTGTGTCTGATGTCTTGTTGCACAAACTTGAAGATCTACAGGCGAAAACTAACAAGTTGTCAGAAGAGGCGAGGTAGGGCAGCGAAGACAGGACTTCCTTCAAGTGAATATAGAGAAGACAGAGGTGATGAAGATACTCAACGAATAACAGCATCAATAACAACAAGCTCCAATCACCATCAGCGACAGAAACCTAATGGAAGTAACCTCCTTCACCTATCTAGGAAGCATCGTTTCAACTACAGGCGACACAGGCACACACGAAGACGTCAAAGTCAGACAGGATCGGAAATACAGCGAGACAGGCGATCATTAGCCTGAAATCAGTGTGGAGATCTTCTGCACTGCACTGCACTGCACTCAGCATAAAGTGTGAACAATATCCGGATTTTCAACACCAACCTCAGTCAAGTCAGTGCTGCTGTGTGATGGTTCAGAGACTTGGTGTGCTACGAAAGGGATTTCCAACAGACTACAGACATTCATCAACAACTGCCACCTACGCTGGCTCGTTACTGAAGCTCAGATGACTAGAATAATGAGAATAAGCAACAATGAACTCTGTCAGGCAACGAACCAACCAATAACCTATTACCCAACAAATATTTAGGAGGAAGTGGAGATGGATTGTGCATACAGTGAGAAGGCGGACTGGGGAAATCAAGTGCCAGACCAGACCCTTGAGTGGGACGCTGATGGGAAGCGACGAGTTGGGCGTTGGTGCGAGGGTGACATGGTGTAGATCGTGCGAAGAGGAAATGAGAGCTTGTGGGCAGTCGTGAAGCCAGGTTGAAGTTTGCAGAGAAGAGAGTGGAATGGAGACGTGCTACTGAAGCCGTATGTTCCATTAGGAACCCAAGGGACAAATAATGATTATAATACGTCACTCATTACTAGTGACGAGTTTTACTGACTCTTGTTAATTACCTTCCACGCTTTTGTTTTGACAAATAAAAGTCTTTATACAATATGCTGCACACTCTGCATCAGCCGCTAATATATTTCTCACAGTTAGCAACATTTAATAAAGTTTGTCAAGAGAAATCAGTCTATCTAAGATTGCCATGGTTTAGCAGACTGCGTGATGATTCGAGCTGAAATAGATATCTAGATTGCGGCAAGATTCCGAATAGCGAACTTTGGGTTACCATCCCGGTACTCTGCCAACTGAGCTATGAGACGTGTACATCTTAATTGTGCTTTAATCACCAAGGATTTTTCGCTGATCGTATTCAAACTGGCTGCCAGAGGTTCTCATCTGTCTAAACCCACCTGAATTCGAGGGGCAGAACATCATATTGAATATCATTCTAACTATCTGAGATAGACTTGCAGTGATACACTCCCCCCTATATGATTCAGTTCCATTTGAATTGAGATGAGACCTTAATTTACCTTTAGTGTGATGATATGACATCTAGGTAAAACTCTCGTTGAAGTTAAGACTCTGTCAGTAGCTAAATTGGCTTAACACTGGGTCGATTGTAATCCTAAGGCTACCGGTTCGAGTCCTGTAGTGATCCAAGTTTTTATTCCACTTTCGATTAACACTCTGTATCAAACAAAGTCAACGAATACTAGGAAGTGAAATTACACCCAAAAGTTAAACCCATTGCTAAAGAAATTTATACACAAATGTTCTATTGATAATTGTGAACGGAGCGATGAGAAACAGATTTGCAAGATAACATGATATCATCTTATTTCTTGGCCTCGTATCAACTACGTACAGTCTACAATTAATGAATTATTAGATTTTACAACTGGATAACGCAGTTAAGGTGTTTGGTGAGGTCAGGATTTGAAACTTGGCGATAACAGATGATAACTTGTATAAGTTTTATTCTCTGAAGAAGAAAAATCAGGAATTTATTTTTCTACCTCATTAGGATTTTAAGATTATATTTCATTTATAATCCCTCTACCCAATGCTTAACTTATTCAAACCTATAAGGTCACATTTTAATCAGGAAGTTCATAATTTTCTATCTGAACAGTGATAAAAAGGAAAGGAGTAGTTAAACAGCCAAACGTTGAAATACCTATGAATGGGAAGTAATAAATAGACAGAACAAACTAACGTGACTAGAATACTACTTCAAACCTTGTGGATATTCGTGGATTAGGCAATGAGATACACCTATTGGTGGAGCGATGTTCGAACGCATGGCCGGTCGGCTGAAAGCCATCTCCTTAAACCAATGATCCACAGCTCCACGAAAATAATACCTGGTTACCAGGGTACAAAATATCAGTCACGGTTTCTTATTGTATGCTAACATTATACTTAGGATTTCTGAGAACAAGGACTTCTACACTATGTAGTACGCCTAAATATCGTTATCTCCTTACTATTCAGAAGAATTGGAAGTTATCTATGTCCTCTAGTTTCCATCAAGCACTTGACTTTCTCATTACCTATAAAACCTGTTCCTTTCAAAAACAAATTTCTTGTAAGATGCTGACAAAAACGTGTAGATATCCTTTGACCAGATCTTTCTGTATCTACTTCCAAAAGTGCATATGAATCGGTAAGTACAAATGGTGACATAAGCAGGCTACTTATCTACCTCAAAGAAACTAGGTGAGCGTGCAGTTTTACAAACTGAGCAGAAGGAGAGCTACTGTTCACTGCACTTCTCATTCTTCTCGATAACTCATCTCTTATGAAAACCAGTATCTTTCCAACAGTCAGATATCAACAAGTTTCAATATATTCTTTGTCACCTTCTTAGATAAAATCATCGAAAAGAAGGTAGTATACTATTGTTTCGTTATAGTTTAAAGTTCATCATCAGTCAGCAACCTTACTGCAAACTGTGTTCTACCCAAAACTTATGATAAGTACATATTCACTCATTTACTAAGACCAGAGAAGTTACTTAGTGAAGAGTGTACGCTCTTGACTGTTGTAACCATAACAAGAATTCCTTAACGAGCAGCTAGTGTAAGGACGATCAAACAGTTGTAACGCGTCACGAATTCACGCGGTAGTCAGGCGAAACACTTCGTGAAATAAAAACTTGGTCAGCAGTTAAGTGTCGTAGCTCAGTTGGCAGAGCAGTGGGCCGGAAACCCAGTGGTCGCTGGTTCGAACCCCACCGTGGCTCAAATCATTTTACCTTCAATCATCAAAATTCACTTTATACTACACTGACAATCGAATTGGCTACCTCAATAATTCACAACTGACTTACTTTTCATAATCCATACTGAAAAAACCGAACCAGTAATATTCAAACTCAACAACCAGACGAGAAAAACAGCCCTGGAAATATCAATAACTTAATTAAGCTACTCATATACAAAAGTACGACCTTCAAATAACGAGTAGTCAGTCAGCTAATATAATTCAAATGATAAAAGTAACGCCGTACTTCTATCTATTCTGACACTGATAGCGTTCCACAGTCAGTTGGTGTATTCTGCCTTTATCTCCTGTCAATCCATGAGGTGAACCACCTTCACGATATTTCCTCGGATAAAGTTTTCAGTTCAACAGTCTGTGTTTATCTTAGACTTCTTATGTCATCCTTCGCACATACTCCTACTTATTCTGTCGCCTTTATTCCGTCAGTCAAAGCATAGAAACTTATTCTGAATGACCTTGTAATATTCAAAATCCTGTATTATACCAAGTCGGGAGTCAGGACAAATACTCGTTGATGGTATTGGATGATGATCACTTCATACCAGGGATTGAGAGAGGTAGGAAAATGTGGATCATGGAATTCCGACCTAGTGGTAACGTGCTGAGGCCGAGCTGAAGGTCTTGGGTTCGATTCCTGACGGGGTTATGAATATAAACTGCTGTTCACGGTTACCAGGTTTTCAATGGTTCTCCAAATGATATCAGTTCGTAAAGTATGCCACCTTGAACAGAATTATTTTGTTGTAAAGCAAAAGACTAAGACAAATGCTAAGACAGATATCACTAAACTAAGTAAATGAGAAAATCGGTTTTTCATTCTTCTTTATACACAAACTCAGTACAAAATCGGCACTAATAAATGTACTACGAAACGAAACGTAGAAAAAATATATAATTTAGAAAGAAATAGTAAAGTAAACAAACAGTTGTTCCAAAAACATACGTTCAGAAAACATTTTTACGGCCTTCGTGTTACTTTTGACCAGTAGGAAACAGAAGGAAATTACAACAACTTTCAATCGCTTCTGTTACCATTTCAAGCCACTGAGCTGAATAATATCTCCGACTCCATTCAGAATATCTTCAGGCGCCAACAGATGTTGACCGAATACGTTTATTCTTCATCGCACAGCGCTATATTATACACTGACCACCCGTCCACTTCGTACAACCAGTGACATAGCAAGCGAACGACCAACGATATGGGGGGCGCTGGAACTATATACTTAAAGCATGTTGAAGCCACCAAAGCTAGTGTTTCAAGAAAACTTCACTCAATGAATGATAATCTCCATCTCATCCAAGCACGTATTAACGCACCTTAAGATAATTTACATGATGATTACATCGGATGAGTAATCCCTTGGAGATGACAGTGGCTAGACATGTAGAGTCCTCGGTTAAGCCAGGTTTCACAGACTCAACCTTTTCAAACGAATAATTTGACACGACGATAGAGCTAAAAGGATGTCAATTTACGGTTAAAAATCCCACTAGTCACATTTCGACGAAAATTGACACAACTATCCAGATACATTAACTTGTTGACTAGTTCCAACGGTCCACCGCCATGCGTGAGTCCATACACAAGCTACTAATAATATTGTAAAAGCAATTCAAAAGTTCAAAGTACATTCTATACTTAAAAAAACTGGTTACCAACTGTTCAAGTGCGGCATGAGTAGGCTGTCGCGTAATGAATCATACTTTCCACATGCTCAATTTCATTAGCCAGTTATTGGCACTGCAACACATTCTCGACAAATGACTTCATTTAGGTAATATTGGCCAACCACCTATCAGTAAACAACAATTTACAAAAATTATTTTATTGAAACATAAAAATAATAATACAAGAGTAGCTCAACACGCTTTAGGCTTTAATGCTGCTTTAGCCCGAGTGAAAGCTGAAACAAATGCACCCAATTGCAACCTCTCCGACGATCCCTGTGACATACGATGTTCTATATCCGACATGGCAATTATTAAATCACATCGAATTGGATCGGGTAAGTCAACTAGAAAATCAAAATGCAAACAATAACAATATGTAAAGGAAAGGAAATCTGGGAGAATTATCATAAAATTGAATAGAGAATCTTAGTAGTGGCATAAATGTATGAAATATAGAGAGTAATGTTGATTTGAAGGTGGAAATATACAAAGATTAAAAATACTGACTTGTTTGGCGAAAATACTACAGGTTTCTGACTGTAAATGTGTTCTTAGCATTGCTCATGTATAATGAAATCACCAGTTGAACAATGTACAGGTTGGACAGGTCAATCGATGAGGTTGTGAACCTTCACCGACTGTGGCTTGAACATGTGGTGCGCATGCCTAGCCACCACCTACTTAGACGAACAATCCTAACAGAAGTAGGATTAAGCGGGAAGAAGGTTCAAGGTGGTTAGGCCAAGATATGGGTACAAGTCCATGTTGTTTCTGACTGTCGGGTTGAGTCATGTAGTGAAGTGTAGACTACCCGACTGGGGTCTCTAAGACGATAAGAATCATCGATACTGCTAAAATCGGTCACAATGGCGAAGGTGTACTCACTCTCCGATGTCCTCTTAAGCTTGACTATTTTGACTAACCTTTTTTTTTGAAATTCATTCTCCTTTTATACCACTTTAGTCCACCACTTTAGTATCAGTCGAGACGAATGCAGATTCATTTTAATAGTTATAATATATCTGGTTTCACAAATCTCAGTAGTTCTAATAGAGTACGAATAAGCAGCAGAGTAGTTGCCAGTGAACAACTTAAAACAATTATTCGTCATGGACTGACATTAGTTGGAAGAACACTGGAAACCTGAGAGTACTGGACAACTGTAACGTTCTAGTACGGGACTCCTCAGTAGGTAACCCTGCCACCAATCGAATCCACGACCTTCAGGTTCCGTGGCCAGCACGCTACAGTTGAACAACTGGGTCGGAATACAATGATCCATATTTGCTACTCCTATCAGTTCACGCTACAGCGCGACCTCCATCCGATATCGTCGTTGAGAGACTGTTCTTATACCCCATGATTGACATCAGCGGTCGCATCTCATGAGAACTTCGGGAATCACCTCTCACAGCGAGTCACCAATGACCGCTAGAATTATTCAATTTGGAGGTCTGTGAGGATTTATTTATTGATCTCAGGTTGGCATTTATCACGCATTGACAACAGTTGGAGAACCACTGGGAACCTAAAATCACTGGATTAGATACTCAACGTGGTCATGAGTACCCACTCTTGAGGAGTCCTATACAAAGACGAAACAGCTGTCTAGTGCCACCAGATTTCCAATGTTTCTCCAACTGACCTCAGCCCATGATGAATATTAACGTGAAGTCAGTAAATAAATGCTCAGAAACCTCAAAATGCAAAGAATTAGTTATTATTCCCTGAAGACTTGAGTTTATGAAAGCCTTATGAATGTAAGAGACCTACGGAAATAATGCTATTGCGTAGCAACTCCTTCCCAAACCACTAGAATCAATCCGTGATATATATCCACATTCAACATACAAAAGAATATTCACGAATTTGGTAATTACAGGATAGGAAACAATTGTACAGCTTACTTCGCATTATTAATGGATGAATTTCTGTGATAATATCCTGAAGTGCCATTCCCTTCAAATTTTTCGCAGATATAATATCTAAAAATGAATAAATGACAAATATGAAACTGGTACTGTCTTTTAATCAGTCGAAACTTCATAGTAGAACTGTATCTTGAAATTATACTACACACTATTCACAGAATAAGAACATACAAACAAAATGTATTACATATTGGGAAACGGGTTTTTATCGATAGCGGGGAAACCAGAAAATGCTATTCAGTTAATAGTATGTGAACGACGAACGGAACGTATTCAGGACTCTTATGCGCATTCGTCCAGTAGGCAATGAGCTACACTAATTTAGTCAGAGCTAATGAGACTACCACTTGACTGATCAAACTATGGTAGGTGGAGCAAGGCCTAAACCCTTGGTCCATTGGTTGAAAGACACGACACCACTTGCCTAAACCACTGAGCCACAGCTCCTTTGCAATAGTATGTGGTTATATCAGTAAGATAGCAGCGATTTTCCGGATAGACAACGGAGGTAAGTCACTTTTTTTGAGTAACCACATATTGAACTTTTGGCACACTGAAAATGTTTGTTTGATATCAGGTTAAGTAAGCGCTACATTACAGTGACTAAGTGGATATACACACAAGACTTTTTACTGATTGACTCACCGCACTGAAGTAGTGACTTTCTTCGGACCCAAGTGAAAACTCTTCAGAAAATAAGATTTAGTAGGCTAGTAATTGTGCATATATTTTGTACAGACACCTATATGACATCTATATGCAAAAGATCCGAATGTCATACATAATGTATCTGCAGTGAACCTCAACACCTTCATATACTAGGATAGGAGTTAAACCTATTGTGTGAGAATTAACTGCACTACCTGGCTACGCAAACTTCGATAGGTAAAGTGGGTGTTCAAATCCATGATACACTGGTTGAAAGTTGATCCAATTAAGTACAAACCAGTTGCTGAAGCTAAGGTAAGTAAACTGGGTTCAAAGGCAATATTGTGTCAACAATTTTCAAATAATTTCCTGATAAAAGGTCAGTCGGTTGAGAGGTTTTATGGTAGTGTCATTCAGCGAGGAGTACCGAGTAAATACACTGCACTGTTCACGATTCTGAGTTCAAACGCTAGCTAGCGTGTCAGAGCCTTTGGTGTGGTATCAGGTGAGTTGTGTACTTCATGTGGCAGCCGTCAAGGATGTCTCTTTCTCTCTCTATCACTATTTAATTTTTGCAGAAAGTACTTATATAGGTCTCTCTCATAGTCTGACTTAACAGTGATTAAGCGTATCACAGGAGACTCCTCAGTAGACCTAGAGTACACAGAGGACAAAGTCCTGTTTGAAGACTCTGAAAAGACCAAGGGCCTACTGGGAACCTTGAGCAACAAATTGATATTATCTGGGATGCGTTTCTTACTCTCAAAATGTAAACGCCTTCTCCAAGACTGATCTATGTCAGCATTCTATCTAATAGTAAGGAGTGAAGAAGCTGGACGCCTTGTCACCTTCACATACTTGCGAGGTCGGATCAGTCATGATGGGCTATTGGCGGATGAAATCTTCACACAAATACAAAAAGCTCAACTGGCTTTTGCTGATAACTACTGTTAATACCACCTGAGTGAAATCTGATTGCCTATTATGGGTCGAGTTTTGCTGTAGTTTGCTCTATCCTATCATATGGCTGTAAAAATTTCCATTGAAGGTAGGGGATGAGGTTTCTGGTGTTTGACCACCGTTGCCATTGTAGCATAGGTCGGGTGTCGTGGAATCACTACGTCAATAATGCAGAAGTCAAGCGTAGAATTTTGGATAAAAAAAGAAAGTCAATTGATGAGGTTGAAAACCATCATTGACTCAGGTGGCTGAGTGATGTGTTACACATCCGTAGTCACGTTCTGCTCCGGTGCATTTCAGTAAACTGAAATTAACTGAAAATATACTGAAGATGAATTCCACAAAGAGCAATATATCAAAATTTGCTTGAACCATTTTTCTGCAAAATATGGCGCTCTTAATGGCATCCTGTTGTTCAACACTTTATAACTCTAATATTTAAAAAAAATGTAAAGTGATTATCAATTTAAGATGCTTGAAAAATAACTCAAGAATGATAAAAGATAGCTAATGCTAAAAGTGTAAGTGAAGTGACTTACTATGATATGCAGTACTTATTGGCTCATTTAGTACATGATCTAAAAGTGATCGAACTTCTTCAGGTGAAGGATATGCAACACAAGCGTAGACAGCTGATCCATCAACCGTTTCCGATGACATAGATGCACTCTTTATAAGACGAAAGTTAGTCAGATTTATTACTTACACAGGGAAACAAAGTCATTGTGAGTTAATTTTTAAAAATATCGTTATCACATGTTTATAGCATATTAAAGATATATATATATATATAATATATATATATATATATATATATATATATATATATATATATATATATATATATACCTTATGAAGTTATTTTATACGATACATAGGTGAAGAAGTATACTCGAGTAAAGTTTGAGTATCTTGAAAGATAAAATAGATACTTGTAGCAAAAGATACTAACGGGTTTTAATCAGTAAATCTAATTAAGTGATTTAGCATAGAATGGGAATTTTGAAAAGTCTAACATATAGCTGACTGAAGACAACAAATAAGAAAAGCATTGAAGATTTGTGGCATATTATTACAATTATATCATTTTTCCCTTGGGTTCCTAGTGGAACACGCCTCCATTGCACTCTATTCTCTGCTGTCTTTTCAACCTGTCACCACGACTGCCCACAAGCTTTCATTTCTTCCTCACACCATCTCCTCTATGTCACCCTCGGCTCAGATGCCCAACTCGTCGTTTCCCATTTGGGTCCCACTTGAGGGCGTGGCGTGTGGTGTCCCCAGTCGGTCTTTTACGTGTATGCCCAATCCATCTCCACTTTCTTTCTATGCATATTTGTTACGTTATAGGTTCTTGAGACGTCAGAGTTCCTTGTTGTTCATTCTTATTATTCTGGCCATCTGATTTTCAGTGTCGAGTGAGCGTAGGCAGCTGTTGATGAATGCCTGTAGTTTGTTGGAAATGCTTTCCGTGACACGCCAAGTTTCTGAACCATATAGCAGCACTGACTTGGCATTGGTGTTGAAAATCCGGATGTTGTTCACGCTTCCTTCTGAGTGCAGTGCAGTAGATCTTCACACTGATTCCTGATTAATGAAAGCTTGTCTTGCTTTTATGATCCTGTTTTTGACGTCCTCGCCTGTGCCACCTGTAGTTGAAACGATGCTGCCTAAGTAGGTGGGTAGGTAAAAGAGACTACTTCTTTTAGGTTTCTCTCGTCGATGCTGATTGGTACCTCTTGTTGTTGATGCTATTGTTCGCTGGGTATTTTCATCACCTCCGTCTTCTCTACATTCACTTGAAGTCGCGTCTTCGCTGCCCTGCCTCGCTTCTTCTGTCAACTTATTCGTTTTCGCCTGTGTATTTCCAAGTTTGTGTGACATTAGACATACGTCGTCGGCGAAATCCAAATCTTCTAGGCTCTTTTCGTCGGTCCAGCGTATCCCTTTCTTTTCGCTCCTCACTTTTTGCTGCATGAACCCAATATGATTTGCACTTCCTTGTTCCGGTCGTAATTTTGAATCCAGTGAGTCTTTTAGCCTATCCAGGACGATGCGGCTCAATATTTTGCTTGCTCTGGATGAACAGCAGCATGATTCCGCGCCAGTTCTTGCACACACTTAGGTCGCCCTTCTTCAAATCGCTAGGCACCTTCCCTTCCTTCCACACCTTCTGCAATAGTGGTGTGAGCATGTCCTCTGTTGTCCCAGCGTCTGTTTTTAGTGCTTCGGGTGGGATTCCATCTGGTCCCGCTGCTTTCCCGAATCTCAACAGTTTCATGGCATTCAGGACTTCTGCTTTTGTCGGAGGGTCTGTGTTTACTTCTAGTTCTGCCGTTGCTGGTGGTATTTCTGAACCAGTTGCAGGAGATGGTTGTGGTCGATTCAAGAGCTTTTTTAAGTGGTCAGCCCAGTGTTACCTTTGTTTCTCCTCTTTGGTAGCTAGCTTTCCCTCACCATCTTTCATTGGTTTCGTCTGCGATGATCTTTTCCAGGATAGTAACCTGGTTATTTGATACAATGTTGTCAAGTCTCTCCTACCTGCAGCCTGCTCTGCTTCGCTTGCCAATGTGTCGTAGGAGTGTCTTTTGTCTTTCCGTGCATTCTTCCTTACCTTTTCGTCCAGTGTTCTATAGGTTGTATTCAGTTCTTCTTTTCGTTGTTCATCCTTGCACTAGTTTATCTTCTGCTTCACCATCCTCCTCTCCCTGCTCTATCAGCTCCCATTGTCCGTCGAGATCCATTCCTTATCTTCTTTTTTCTCGTTCCTAATACGGTTATACAGGTTTCTTTCCACATCTCTTCCAAACAGTTCCAGTGTTCATCCACACAGGTTCCTTCAAGGATGTTGCTCAACGTCTCCCATTTTGTTTTGATGGCTGACGTGAAGATTTCCTTTGTAGTTTCGTCCTTCAGATTCTGGGTGCTGAACTTGAATTATGTCCTATCACCAACTTCCTTGAAGGCTTTTAACTTGATTTGGAAGGTTACTTGCACTAGATAGTGAGTGGTGTGAACCTACATCTGCTTCTCTTCTTCATCTGACCTTGCATCCAGTAGGCTGTCTCCACTTTCTTCACATTGAGATGAAGTCGATCTGATTTTTAGTGTAGTGTGTCCTGATGTCTGGTGAAATCCATGTCGCTCGCTTTGTGAATATCCTTGTGTTTGTACACACTTCCTCCAATCACCAAATCGTTGACTGCGCAGAAGTCTGCAAACAGTTCTCCATTCTCACTTATCATTTCACCGAGTGCTTCTCGACCCATGATGAGTTCCCTTCCTGTGTTGTCCACTCCCAGTCTGGCATTCATGTCGCCCATTAGAATTTTGATGTCGCCAAATGGAGTGAGATCTTGTCCACTACTGATTGCAGTTGCCTGTAGAATTCCTTCTTCTTCTCTTCATCTGTATTATTCGTTGACGCGTAGCATTGAATGATTGTGACTTTCTTTCCTTATGAGATTTTAGGATTTGTCCTGGTGCGAACTTGACAGACGCAAAGACCAATCACTAATTATTCGAACTTGTTATATACCCACGAATACGAGACCAAGGAAGAACACGATAGCGTAGTCGGATGGAATAGTATATTTGGATGGTTATGCCAAAATACCGATGCGTTCCAACTAACTGGCTAGAGAGTCGAATACGAGCAATGCAACGTAACACGACAGCGTGCCAAATGGCGAGGATGCTTGACCGGGTGCCTTCAGCTTAGCGAGTCCAGTTAAACTACCAAGGTCAGCATCAATGTCGAAAGTCGTCAAACCCCAGGCTATTGATTTTGGGGAAGTGTATGACGCTACAAGTTGAATCCATCTTGCTGTCATGATCCTGCAGGAGGAGACTGGTTCCCACTGCATGATAGAAAGAATTCGATGTTCTTAGAGAAATCATGATAGCCACTTTCTCCATGTGCTCGTGGTTGTCGTCTGGGTGACCGGAATAGATTACTGACTCCTCTCCAGTTGACAGTCTAGAGAGTCCACTTCCATGCCATACCTTTTCATCTCTTTTGCAATCTCGGCAGTCTTGGTAGGTTCATACATGGTGCGGACATTCCATGTCCCCACGTTTACTTTCGTTTTCATCGAGAGAAGACACATCAACCAATTGGCTTCCTGAAGGCTTTCACCAACTGGCGTCATTTTGTCTCCCAGATTCCAGCGAGGAATAAGTTTGTTTTTATTTTTTATATTTTGTCTGTGCTTTGAAGTTTCTGTAGCGGTTGGATTTGTTTTACGGGGTAGGGTTGCTAGCCGTATGCCCAACCTTCCCTCTTTACCCGGGCTTAGAACTGGCTAGTAACTAGTGAACCAGTTAACCAGGCGAGGTTGTGGCGTATTATACATACTGATAAATTACTCAAACTATTCAGTGGAAATGAAAAGCCTAAAAGGAGGAGCGTGTAATACAAACGAATTTCGATACAACAGGTTATCGATTTGACTGCAAATCAATAAATTCCAATAATGAGTTGAATTACATCTACACTTTGGTAACTAAGGCTCCAGAATTCTATGCTCTCAAAAAGGTTAGAACATCAGTCTAATTACGTAGCATGGTGGTGGACAGTTTACGACTGAATACCAAACAATCAAAAAATAACAGTGGCTTCCTGTAAGCTGAGTAGTGTATCCATACCACAGTTACCTTTAGGTAACAGTTACAGGTGACTAATTTAACGTAAACTCATGAAAAACAAGGGACTGAAAAGAAATATAGGCGAAACATGTATTGGAAGCTTTACTAAACCTAATGAATGAAACATTTGTTCATGAAGACAAACAGAAGTTTGCAGAATCCCTAATACATCAAAGTAGGACTACATTGAAAACCTTTATTTTTCCCATTTTTGAAAGTAAGGAAGAAAACTGAATGCTTTTATTGTTTTGTAACTTTCATCTAATCGCTTTTAAAAACTTTCAGGAGTTATTAGGTGGTTTGAGACGTGGCACCAGTTCACGAAGTCCCTGATTGTTGGTCTGAGCCGTGTTGGAAGATGTAGACTGTCTGAACGAGGTTCCAAAGGGCAAAGTGCACAACTGGTTGTACAGGATGTGAAAGCAGTACGTCGTTTCATGCAGATAATCGGTATTCCACACTGATACTGCTTTCCCGTGTCGGAAGAGGCTGGTGAAGACCAGCCTCCGAAGTGTCAGACCATCCCTACAAACTCCCGACCCTGACGGCATGAGTATTTTTCCTAGCACGCATGCAACCACTAGATCTAAATAGAAAACAACCAGAAGACTGCGTGTAAACTTGTCAAAAGTGGATATACTTTGACCTCTGTGGTCGCGAATCCAAGTCATTAGTAAGATCGCCTTCATTAGTCCACTTTACGTGCTTCAAAATAAGTAACCGTTCAGAGTGTATATACTAAAAAATTGTGGACCACCCCACCAACTATGTCAGCGTTCGTGTTTCTTCTGATTACAACCTACAAACAAAATAGCCGACTTCTTTGTATTTTTCTGTTAACAATTTTACGTCATCTCTAACTTGTTCACGCTTTACATCTTATGATACCGATTAGGGACTAAGTAATGGCATTCATGGTTTCTTGTAACACCACTCAAAAGTAAATATTGAAGCTATTAATGTTCGCATCCTTCGTCAAAAAAGACAGCATAGGCAGCCAGAACTATGGCATCTCTAGTCAAGGAAGCATGGAGTTTATGGGACAAATACAGAACTGAACCTATGCATGTCTACTTACTTAACCTTAATTGACCAAGGTAGTAGGTTTGAGAAAGTCACCCTTCGGGTATCTACAAACTTCCCAACTAGTTCGTACAGTTTTGCAGGTCCATATACAGCAAGAGGTCTTGGGTTAGAAAGCACACTACTCAAGTGGATTCTGGCTGATAGTTCTCGTGCGCTGTCTGACTGAATGATACAATAAGAACGACCAAGGATAGTGACATTTGTCCTCTTATTTTTGCAAACTCTGCTGACATACCCAGTGACTGCGAGTCGGATGGAAATGTTTCACTGGAAGCTGTCTACCCTCTTACTTAAGGTCAAACGTCAAGATGTCACTGTAGCAAGGGAGTTCAATGCATATTTAGGGTACAAACACGCATAAAGGAATCTAGATGGTACTTCTGAAATCGCAACTGAATGAGCCGACGATGGTTTTTTACTACAACTGTGCTTAAAGGTTTACCTGTTTTGACCAGCCTGAGTGCTAGACATAAACAGAAAGTGTTTTACTTGACGTCCACCGTCTTTGGATCGGAACAGACAACACTACCATTTACCAATGGACGGTGAGTAGATGGCTAACCCTTTTGAAATGTATTTGGACAGTGATTAGGTGCTAACTCAAGCGTCCACGCATTTGCACCTAAATGGGCACGGTTACGTTAAAATTGGAAGAGCTCTACGAATTCGACTCAATGACAAGGGTTCTAAGACAGTTTCTAAGGTGGAACTAACCGCAGTCACCTGGACAGAAAAACATAACCACCTGGTGTCACCTCAAGGCTACTGTAGAATTTGTCAAACGTTCTAAGTGAAGCTCATAAAAAGGACAAAAAATGGTCAGTGGGTTTCAGGAATCAAGATAAAAATTGAAACGCATTCATTAAAAACGGGTACGTTCGTACAGTAGGCAATGCGACACCTAGTATGAGGGGCTGGTGGTACTACTAGGTTGTCTAGACCTCCACAGACGGATTAGGATTCTGATCCGTGGACCCCAGTAAATTCTGAATCAATGAGGGTATGTGAACGCTCTCTCACAGGTCCCAAGCAAAATGGAGAGAGAACGCACACTGAATACACAAAGTTAACGAAATGAAAGTGAGTAGTGGTGGGTGAAGACGGCTTAGAGATGGAGAAAGTAGACAGTGGTCAAAACTTACCACAGAAACTGGAGCGAAAGTCTATCATTAGTGAGACTACAGCATTTAATTCACTCGCAGGGAAGTCGACTTCAACAGTGGACGAACAGTTTGAAGAGTATTTCGACTGACCTTTAACTACTCTTCGGTTGCTCGCTATTTAGTCGCATTCTGAAAAGAACAATGAAATAAGAACTCCAACCCTTGCAGAAGTTGAGGGATGTAAGTTACTGAGGAACAGCAAGGCTAGCAAGCTTTGGTGAGCTTACATCAGGGATATTTATGGGCGATGGACAAGGGTCGTTGGTTAGACTAACTGGTGTTTATTATTTTCAATTGATCTTAATCACTGATTGCTTCGGTCTTTACGTTTCTAGGTACAGTAGTCACCAGGCACCTAACTGAAACTCGGGAACAACAACCCGATAAAATCAGGTTGTGACACACTCATCATTTCGAGACACTAGTTGTCGATCGTTTCTGTTGACGGTCTACATGGCAGTCGCTGAAGGAGACGTGAAGTAGACCCATAACTTCTGAAGGCTTCATATTCAAAAACCGTAGGCATGTTGGAATATTTAGTGAGGTGTGTATTGCATCATATTCCGTAGGCACACTCACTTCATTCCTATTGAAACTTCATTATAAACGTGCTTATGAAGATCTCCGTGTCTGGCCTGACAAGGCACACACATTTAATTCCTTTTATGGTAGAGTATAACGACGCCTTGAATACAACTTATTGTTCTTAATCACAACTTGATACCATTATGAGTAACGAAGTGCTTGTATAACGAATGCATGTTTTCTAGTTGTATAATATGACCACAGGTTTCAGAAGTATGTGGTCCTATTGCTCGGATTTTTGAAGTTCGATTTTGTTGCACAACTTTACACTTAGACTCCTTTACATTTCAAAAGACAATTGGGTATTATTTTAAAATTTGCATGCTTGTAGTCGACTCAATATTACACTTCTTAAAATTTTGACTTTTATGTAGCAGAAGGGGTCAAGATGATTGTCACCACTTAATGCATACCCTTGAAGTGCTGCAAACAACTTTTTGAAGGGATTACGTCATCTGAATATCTCGTACTTACCTCAAATTAAATGTAATCTGCTGAATACTTAATAAAGGCGAACTCAGATTATAAGATACGGTTTAATTCTAAGAAAGATTTTAATGAAATATATATACAGCTTAAGAATATGGGCTAGGAAAGCAACTCTATAGTACTTCTATTGAGAGCAACTCAGTAACGTAGAGAAATAGGGAAAGTCCTGACGTTTCTTACCTGTAATAAGTTGATCGATTTGCGCATATCTCCAGATGCAAACTGATATATGGCCTTCACTCCGTCATCTGTTAGGTGAACACTAGCCAAGAATAAACATACTTTTCCTTACCCTTCACATGATGCGATTTTTCGAAGACACAAACTAACATCATTAAATCCAAGCGGTGCAAAGCGAAACTTTGTACAACGTGACTGTATCGCAGGGATTATTTTGGACAGGTAATTACAAATAAGACAAAATCGAGTATTTTCAGTGAACTTTTCGATAACTAAAAGATATGATGATAAATTCAACCTACTTCTGCGAAGGGCATTTTGGGCGTCTTTGGTCATTGAGTCAGCTTCGTCAAGAATAACCAGCTTAAATTTGCCACTGAAAGAGTCATTCGAAAGTGAGATCTTACACAAAGAGAGTTTTTGTGCTAGCAAAACTTAATACTTGTTCACGTACAACATCGATCCCACGATCATCAGAGGCATTAAGCTAAATTTAAGTTACATCTAGGCACCCCCACCTCTAGAACCATTGAATTAAACTGACGCGTGTATAGGCGCTTTGCTGCAGCCAGGATAGTACTAGTTTTACCTGTGCCAGGTGGCCCATAAAACAGTAGGTGTGGTAGTCTGTCTTGGTCAATAAATCTCGCAACTAAAAGCAGTATTGTCAGGTAAAGTCACAACAAATCAAACTTGTTTTAGAAATGTCATCATGACTTATAAGATCTTCTATCGAATTCGGCCTGTATTTCTCAATCCTAAATAATGATTCAAAACCGTTTTACCAGCTACCAGGGTATGTCCATCACTAGCCGCCAGAATTTTAATAGCACACGACCTTAAGCAATACCTTGTTGGTAGTGCAACAAAAGTGGTCGTAAAACAACTATACGGACGAAAAAGGCAATTTTATTTACCGTGAGAATATATTACTTTTCCCCCATGTGAGTGTATACACACTTTAAAACTTTAATATATGTGAAAGAAGTGACACTAAAAGATATTCCAGGGACTAAATTTTTCCGAAGCCAAAACGGTTCCCTCATACTATGAAACAATGAAAATAAGATATTTTAGACTATTTTCAAATCGAAAGTTCCAGTGATATCCCACGTCTGCTACTGCAGGTAATTTTATTTAGAAGCCCCTACTGAAAGTCAGGTGGCACATGGTGTAATGGCTGTTTGGTTAACCATTGTTTACTGAAGGGCATGAGTATGCTATGCCCTTCTGAAACCACTGTGTATGCCAATATTTAATACTCTTATCTCTAGGAGGCAGCGCAGAACTCTGCACCTCCAACAAGCAACTTCCCCTACCAGCAGTACAGGCCCAAGCAATTTATAGACGTTGTAGAGCAACACTGCTTCAGGTTGAAGCGGTATTCTTATAAAGTGTCGTCTCAGCTAGTGTGTTTCATGTTGCCCTATTTCTTCCATACCATATGTATGTCCGTATTAATTCAAGCGACACAGGAACTTTTACTGGGAGAATTTCTGTAGCTTTTGCTATGTAGTGAGCCAAAAGTGTCGTAAAATGCTTTTGGTGGGGCCGGGTGCCACTATACAGCGGCCTCTGGTATGCAGTGTGGCGAATGTAAGAAGTGGTTCCGTGATAACTGCACAGGCTTCACACCCTCAGCATATACGAGGCACAACAACGAGGAAATGTATAGCTTTGCACGTCACGCTGCCCGGATGTTCGAACTCTGGTAGAAGAAGCAAAAACGCTCCCAAATACGATAACTAAGAAACCATCGTTGAAAGTCAAAGTCGATACCTGTGGCAGTGATAACGATTCAGCATCCATTGACATACAGACTGCTGTGCAAAATTTTATGAACGTCCCACGACAAACTGTAAGTCGGATGCATAGACTACCTACTAGGTTTGCTGGCAGCGACTTAGAAAAAACTACGCTAAGCAGGGTGAAGCGAGTGTCTTCTGGTTCTCGCATGCCCAAAGCTGGCAGACCCTGTGCGAAAACTGCTGGCCGTGAAACTAAGTCCACTTCGGATTAGAGAAACAGGAGTGAAGCACTCTCAGTGTCAACAAGGGAACCATACAGACTGCAGGTCATACCCATTGCGCGACCCGATTATTGACAAGAACTAAACAGAATGGGATGCAAGTCTGTTCTGGGGCTCTCAGTGTCAAGGTCCCTGGACTAGGCTTCAGTAAACCTAGCGTGCCCAACTCTGAAAAACTACAAGTAACTAAGTCTAAATGGCCTGCCAAGAAGCCAATAAGGCCATCGAACCAGGTACCACCACTTTACAGAGCAAAGACAAAGTAGAGATCATTGACGGGTCCGTAATCTTCTACAGGTTGGAAAAAAGTAGAAACCCAGAACCACGTAAACGCTTTGCACATGACCATGGCAAGATACGAAGTTTGATAAACCGGCTTTTGCCAGGAAATATGCCGGGAGTTACCCTACTCAAGACATGTAGAGTAGGCAAACAGGAGTTGGTCATTACTGGAAACGAGTTTCAGCTACTTAAGGTCGTGTTCAAGTCGGCGGATGAGAGGGATCGGATTCTGAAGAATGCTCATAGACTTCAAGGATCTAGAGTGTTCGTTCGAAGGGATCTGTCCATTGATGATGGAATCAGAAAATGAGGTGGAAGTGTGGAACTAAAATCCGGATTGGCAGCCACAGAGAAAGATCTGAAGGTAGCGGGTTTTCGTGTAGTGAGGCTTCGGCAACAAATGATGCCGAAGCATCTATGAATGAGACGGAAGTTCATTTAAGTAGTCTCGTCGTCTTGTATGCAAGTTCACACAGTCTTTTCAACAAATGGACTGAGCTTAGTAATGTGATAAGCAACGAAAGTCCTGACATTATTGCTATCATAGAAACTCGGTTCCCTTCTTGGATCAGTGAATGTGAAGCACCCTTACGAGGATTCATCCCTTTTAGAAGTGACGGGTTAGCACGTGGTGGTGCCACCCTTTAAGTTAGGAATACGGTAACCGTAAAAGCCATGGGAAAGTTGCACACGAAAGTGGGACACATGAAGCGCTGCACTGCCAACTAAAGTACAAGGGGCAAGATGTTAACGTGATCGTAATATATCGAAGCCCTAAAATGTGAGGCACCAGGCTTCCGCTTGGACAAGCTGACCCTCTGGACAGACAAAGGACGACACCTAGTTGTAGGAGACTTCGCTGCACCATCAGTTGGCTGGGATAGGCCAATAACGAAAGCATCACATGATTCACTTGATCACAGGTTAGTGTAAATATCAATTTCCGTAGCCCTTATACAGCACACTAGGACACCAACCAGATACGATCATCACCGTGTTCTAGACGGTATTCTCACATACAGATGATGTATGCCTCATTTAATACCTAGCGCCCCTTGGTAAAAGTGGTCACACCGTGACCACAGCAGATGTCTTGTACCAGGCCGATGCCCCAACTAGACTCAACATATGAAAAAGAATATGGAACCTATTAACCTGGCAGCATCTCCGGAGGACTGAACAGTCGGTCCAGAAGCCTCAGTTGAAGATGCGTAGTGCTCCTTCAAACAGTTATATGCACGCGTGACCCAACGGTCCATTCTGTTGGCGGAAACATTTCCCTCCGTGAATAAGCCACGAAATCCGAATTTTGCCACGACGTAAAAAAACGCGTTGGAGTCTGGCCGCCCGCTTTGGTACGCCCAAAGTGGTGAAGCATTACAAAGAAGCCCGCAATAAATGTCTCGCTGCTATCCGCAGGTCTTGAATATGCTTTGAAACGCGACTTTCCCAGGCTGCATTGCAACATCCAAAGGGTTATTTTCCCGTATGAACTATAGGAATGAGATGTTTCTTTGCAAACCTGCCCCAATCAAAGGGACAGAAACTGACTGCTTTGGTCGAGGACGATAGGGAAAAAACAGAAGCTATGACCAAATTTTTGCTGAGGTCTTCACATGGGAATCCAACAGTAGAAGCATTTACATCCAAAAGAATAAACTCCGTGGGTGTCAACTGCAGTGATGTATTTTGAATATCAAGTAATCTCGACACAAAAAAGTCGGCAGGACCGGAAAGGCCGCGCCCAAGGGTTCTCAGACGACGTGCACTCTGTGTAGCCGCCCCGTCGACTACTAAATTCAGTTTATCTCTAGGTGAAGGCACGCTCCCCTATGACTGGAAGGATTCCATGGCCACACGCATCTACGAGGCAGGTTCTAGGCAGCTCCTATCAAATTACAGACCGACAAATTTGACTAGTACTGCAGTGAAAACCCCAGAAAGTGCAGTCAATAAACCCACCGCAGTCTACCCACAGAGCAACACCCTATCATCTTGTTCCCAACATGGTTTTTTCGAAAATTCTTCTTGCTTTGACGAACCCCTTACAGTCAGAGAAAGTTGGGTCAAGTCTGCAGATGATAGGATATCTATATATATCATTTTCATAGACTTTAGCGAGGCGTTCAACGAGGTACCTCATTCCAGGCTGTTCGAGAAACTGGAAGGTCTTGTAATCAGTGGCGGTTTGCTCGCATGAATAAGAGACTTTCTTGTCGGTAGGAGACAGAGAGTAAGGGTCAATTCCAAGCCCTCGACTTGGAAGCCGGTAGAGAGTGGAGTGCGGCAAGGCACAGTCCAGGGTCCCTCTTGCTTCTCGTATACGTAAATGAGCTGCCAAACATCAGAAATCTCCTATGGTTCTCTACGTCGATGATGTAAAAATCTGGCGGGAAAGTAGGAACGATGAAGATATACTTGCGCCTCAGGCGGAGCTTAACAGCTTGTTTACCTAGTCAGAGAGGTGGCTTATGCCTAGTAATGCAGGCGAATCTGTGGGCGTGCACCTGGGGCACATGCACAGCAACACCTACGATATTTGAGAGACTCGTCTACCGTCAGTACTAACCCACAATGACCTGGAAGTCATGGTTGGTTATGACTTGAAAACCGCGGCTCACTGCCGATTGGTAGCAGCCCGGAGTTTTAGGACCCTGGGCATTACGTAGAATGCTTAAGAAAATAAGTGGTGAGATGTTCACCATCTCATACACATCCTTAGTTAGGTATAAACGAGAAAACAGCATGCGGGCGGCTAATCCCCGTCTGAAAGGCGATGCAGACCTTCTAGAAGGAGTTCAGAGGGCAGCCACTCGTATGGTCTTTGCGATGGCCGGCTTCACCAAGAAGACCGACTTGAGAAGCTGAACCTCTTCACTTTTGTTCTATCGCGGACAGGGGAGAGACATAATCATGCCATTCAGGATTCTAAGAAATGAATTCGGACCTGATCTATCTTCTCCTTTCCTTCCACTAGGTCGGAACACCCCAGAGAACATGGTAGGGGACTACAAAAGCAAACAACGAACATGGTCTCCGCAGAGTTCTGGTTCTCACGCCGAGTACTCAACGCCTGGAACCGACTCCCAGAAAGAGTGGTGTCCGCATCGTCAATTGACTCGTTTAAAAGGGGATTGGGTAGGCACATAACTCTACTGGGGAAGGATTAACACGGGCTCCCAGCCTCCTATCCTCAAACAAACAATCCGAAATCTGAGTCGGAAACCCTCAGTAAGTAACTGTTGATGAAGGGTGCGTTTACAGAAAGGCTTACCCCAACCAGGCAGCCCCATTGTAGTCAAGATGTAGAACAGGTCAAATATCCAGTACCTGCCTGACAAGCCTTTGTAAACTAGTCGATTTCTTCGTACTCGCCGCTGGGTCTTGCGGAACGATCCCAGATCTTTGACGAATTCCGATGCAGTGGATCTAGCCGCTCATAGGCTATAACTCTGGCGTACCCATCAAGTGGTTGGGTGTTGGCTAGTTCACCTGGGACAGCGGTGCACTTGGGCTCTTCGAGTGTCGAGTTGCCAGACATTTGTTCAGAC